GGATCCGCGGCAAAAAGCGTTGAGGCACTGCGATATCACCTCTGCTTGTTCTTTACTAGCCTCTGCAAACAAGACAAGATCATCGGCAAAGAATAAATGGGTTAGTTCTACTCCTCCTCTCACGAGTTGGATGGGTTTCCACTTCTTCTCTGCTGCCAGATCGAATATCATATGAGATAAGCGTTCAATGCACAAAGTGAAGATATATGGCGATAGCGGACAGCCCTGTCGTAAGCCTCTAGATGGTGAGAAGGACTCTGTGCACGCTCCATCCCATAGCACCTCGAAGGAAGTCGAGGTAATGGAGGCCATAGCAGCTCGGGTGAACGTGTCCGGTAGTCCCGCCGCCACTAGGGTACTGGCGATGAAGCTCCAATCCATCCGATCATACGCTTTAGCCAAGTCTATTTTCAAGATCATATCCCCCCTCTTTGCTTTCCGTGTTTGCATCGTGTGCACCACCTCCTGCAAAATGATGATGTTACTCTGAATGCTCCTCCCCGGGACGAAGCTCGTCTGCGTCTTGTTCACTAACTTTGGCATCCACGACTTGAGCCTGTTTGCCAGACATTTAGTAAACATTTTATAGGAGACGCTACAGAGGCTGATTGGTCTGAACTCTGCAACCGAGGAGGGGTTGAGCTTTTTTGGAACTAGAGTGATTAAGGTCTCATTAACCGCAGCGATCAGACCTGGGTTTCTGAAGCAGCCAATGATGAACTGTGTAAGAGCTTCACCGACCGTGCTCCAGCACCGTTGAAAAAACAGAGGATGGAATCCGTCCTTTCCAGGTGCTTTATGGGGTCCCATCGTCTTCAGCGCATCCAGAACCTCCTGCGGTGTTATGTCCAGAGCCAACCCCGCCATGGAGTCCTCTACCAGCGGGAACTTAGCCGGAATCAAGTCCACCAGGTTTGGGTCTTCCTGGTATAATCCCATGAAGAAATCCCGAACCATGTTCTGCAATGCTATGGTATCCTCCACCCAGTCACCTGCTCCATTCTTCAACTTCCTGATCCTGTTAAAGCTTCTTCGTTTGAGGGTTGAAAGATGGAAATACCTCGTGTTGCTGTCACCCTTAGTGAACCACTGAGCTCGAGATTTCTGGTACCACAGAATTTCCTCTTGCTTGAGCACTGCTTGCAGCTCCCCTCTGATTCTCTCTTCCTCTTTCAAGCTTACCTGGGTGGGATTTAGCTCATTCCGGCTTTCCAGATCTCCCAGACGGCGAAGAAGCTTCCTTTTCCGTGCAAAGATATTCCCAAAGACTTTCTTATTCCAGTCGCTGAGAACTAATGTAAGGTGCTGCAGTCTATCCCCGAATTCCGTTCCTGTGCCCCAGCCCTGCTGTAGTACACGGTCAAAATCTTGATGAAGAAGCCAGGGAGCAAGGAAGCGGAAGGGTTTCTGAAGCTTATTCTGCATGCATGGGCGATCGGTGGACGTAATAATAGGCCGGTGGTCTGACTTAACTCTTGGCAGGTGGGAGATTGAAGTCTCCGGGAATTGCTGGAGCCATCGAGTACAGCTCACCGCCCTATCCAGTCGCTCTTTTAGTCCTCGAGCACCGCTCCAAGTGAACTGTGGGCCCGTGAAAGGGAGGTCAACAAGTCCACAGTCTTCCATCACCGCCCTGAACTCTCGACTTGCCGCGAAGTTGAACCCACCACCACCCTGCTTCTCACCCCTGTTGAGCAGCGCATTAAAATCCCCAGTGAAGAGAATTGGTTTGCTTGTGCTGCCTGCAACCCGCCGGATGCGAGTCCATAAATCCCGACGTTGGCTCAACTGCGCAGACCCATAGACCCCAGCAATTAGCCCCTCCTCCCCTGTCCCCATCCTGAACCGAAGCAGAATCATTTGGTCCATGGTATCCTCCACACTTACTGCAGTCTCGCTAGGATTCCATAGGGCCCAGATCCCCCCTGCAAAACCTCTGGCCTCTACCCGGGTGTTCATATCATATCCCATCTTTTGAATCACCGTATCCGCGTTCTTGCCACTAATCCTGGGTTCATAGATGAACACAATATTAGGCCGGTGAATTCTCTTGAACTCATGAAAATGTAATAAAAAGTCGGGGTCAGCTGCCCCCCGACAGTTCCAAGCAAAAATTTTTACCATTACACTAAGATTAAAAGGAAATCAGCAAAAGACACTAAATAAGCAAAGATAATGACAAAGAGACTTCCCTGCGAGAGGAGCTCAAGCCTTTTCCACGTCCATCGCAGACAAGGTATGTGTCCCTGTCTCCGGAATGGGTTTCTCTATCCTCGGAGCCTGTGCTCCCGGCGATGTGTCCACTGCCATGTTCAGGTCAAGGCTACGAGCAACCGGCTTTCCACTTTTGGGAGATGAGTTCCCGGTCACCATGGCGGTTTTGACCGACCCTTTCGGGGCCTGTCTCACATCTTTCTGAGGCGGGGTCGGGGAGGCCCTCTTGTGCTCCGACGGCTTCGGATGCCTCTCGATCGTTGTCTTAGTGGTACCCTGCTGTTGAGCTGAGCCAGTGCCTCCTTTCCCCAATCTTTTCTCCCCCGCATCCTGTCCCTTCCTAGGTTGGGACTGGTTCGCGGTCTTTGCCCCCCTTGCGCTCGCCTGGGATGATTGTTTAGGCCCAGCTCCTTCCTTCGCTTGTTTCGTTGCCCGTACTTTGGCTTTGACTGGCTCCTCCCGGCGACTCGAGTTTTCAATTGTCTTAGTAGCCCCCACCTCTTCCCCTACAACCACCCTCGGTGACGCAGCTACCGCTGCTTCAGCCTCCACTTCTCCTGCAGCCTTCTCAAGAACCCGCACATCTTCCCTCATCTCATCATTCAGGTCATCCAAAGCTGCAAACCTCGAACCGGATTTCGCCACCGGCGTTATTTTCTCCACCTGTGTTGCTTGGTTGGCAAGGCGGTTAGGCGGTTGCCGCCGACGGTTTCTGGTCGCTATCATCCATGGTCCGTAGCTCTCAAATATCTCCGGGCGTTCTTGCTCGATGGTAGACTTGTTGGGTGGACCATTTGCTCCATGGAAATCTGCTTCCGTGGGTGCATCTAGCATTTTCGATGGGCACACTTCCTGCTCATGCCCATAGCGACCACATTCAAAACAAATCTTGTGTAGGCCCTCGTACTCAACTCGGCGTGTTCTCCTTTCCAGGCGGTACTTGCATATCAAGGGTTTCGCCAAGTTGACTTCGACACATATTCTAGCAAAGTGCCCTCTGGTCGCTAGTCTTGTGGCTTCATCCATCTTAATAAACCTTCCCAGTGAGTTACCTATACTTCTCAAAAGTTCCTCATCGTAATAGTCCATTGGTAACTTCGGCAACCGTGCCCATACCAACGTGTGTGTCAGTTCCTCCTCACCCGGCTCGAACCCTCGCCTCCACATCCTCGTGAGGACGTAGTGGTCCTCAACCATCCATGGCCCCCCATTCAGAGCTCTTTCATAGTCATGCTCAGTGCTGAACCGGGCAGAGTAGAATCCTTGACCCATCGCAGCTATTGTTACCGGTCCTGTGCATGCCCACATGGTCTGCAGTCTACGTTGTAGGAACAGAAAGGGGAATGAGTGGCCTAGGACGCGGACGACCAGGGCAAGTCTCCATCGTTGGCGCCACCGCTTGGTGAATCCCTGGGGGATTTTCACAGTAGGGCAACCCGGTTCACCCTCACCATCGCTATCGATCATCTCTTCCTCAGCCTCCTCTGCATCCTCATCCGGTCCTCCATTCTGAGTTCCGAGCACCGTGTACTTGTAGGAGAGCGGCTGGTTCGGCAGCCCCTCCGGCACGGCGGTCGTCGCCACGGTCTCCGCTAATGCAGGCTTCCCATCTATCGAAAGCATCGATGTCTGGGAGGTATTTGTTTCCTTCTCAGGGTTCTCCATGATATTAACTTGCTCGACCACCATTGCCCCCTCTCCTGTGAACCCTCCGTCGCCAAGTGTTTTCGGCCGCTTCGCTGCTTGCACCGGCGAGGAGACCTGAGCCGGAGGGGGTTGTTTGCTCAGGGTCTCTGGCGTTGCCGCCGGCGGCGCTCATCAGTTTTTGCGTTGTCTAGGGTTTGGTGTAGCCGCTTGCGATTCCGCAATTCTCGGAGCGATTTCCGCGTTAATTAGTTTATTACCAAAATACCAAATATAAACTTGAAACCTTGGCAACAAATCTTTCTCAAAGGATAATTCTCACTCCATATTTGGTTACAAAATCTTCCTCGATCTATCAATCGTCAGACAATATCACAAACTATATTTGGCCACAAATTTCCCAATCGGCCATTCGTGTACTTTTTATCTTCTTTTTCCTTCTCCCAAATTTATAAATGGAGTAGATCCTCAGCATTCTGATTTCCGACCGCCATCACCATCCAAAAAGAAGGTTCTCGTCGTTATTGATAACATTCTCCCATCTCTTCTCATCCCCATCCATTAAATCAGATGAAAGCGACAAAAAAAAAAACATGGTCCATTAAGCCGTACTGTACCGACGGTTCAACCACAAAATACCAGTATCGGAGGCTAACCCGATAGACGGTATTTAACGGTATTAACGGTTGAACTACGGTTCAACCACGATTTTACCGTAAAATACCTTACTACTAACTTTTCCGGTATGGTGTCCCGTACGGTTTCATGGACCATGAAAAAAAAGTATAGGTTAACCCTGCTCTCGGCCGCACCAGATTCCGGTACCACTCGCCATTTAGTTTAAGCACCCAATTTATTACTAAAATAAATTGACTTTCCACGTTCGCAACACATTTACCCGCAATTTTCAATCATTTTCTCCCTTCCCCTTCCAATTCTTCTTCTGAGAGAGATAGTAATTCTCCCCGTATCTATCTCTCTTCCCGCGGATCAGAATCCATCTCCTTCTCCCTCCTCACCTTCACCTTCACCTTCACCTATCACATCGTCAAGTTAAGAAGCGAAGATACAACGGAAGCGGTAGTAATACACGACGACACCTTCTGCTGTTTGCCGCCGCGGCCTGCTTATTGGACCGAGCTATGCTTCACAAGAGCTTCAAACCGGCGAAATGGTGAGCTCTTGCTTTGGTTTGTTTGTTCTCTGTACTTGTGGCATGATTCAATTCTTGGACCGTTGAGAATATATGACTTCTCTCTGTTATTCTCTGTTTCCGGGAAGGGAATTTCGATGGAGGATTTCGCGATTGTAACCGCGTTTGATTTTGGTTTTGTTTTTCACTTGTTTCTGGATGCAGCAAGACGGCATTAAAGATGGCGTCATCCCGTATCAAGCTGCTGAGGAACAAGAGAGAAGTGCAGTTGAAGCAGTTGAAGAGAGAAGTTGCTCAATTGCTCGCCGTCGGCCACGATCGGACTGCCAGGATCAGGGTACGCCCCTCTCTTAGATCCTTCTTTGTTTGATTTCTTCCAGTTCGGTTACTGTTGTATTGAAGTTTTTTAATATTCGGGTTTCAAGTTCTTTTGGTTCCCCCTTTTTCTTTTCCCCTTTACCCACTGTGCTGAGAAATCTGTGATACGGCTCTACTTTATGGTTTGTAGCTGGTGGACATGGTTGGATGCTGATATTTGGATAGGGTTTGGCTTCTGGACTGGTTCTTGTTTAGTCGTGTTGCAGAATTGAGAGGGTTTTGTGACAATTGGATCAACTGGTTGCTTGTTTAATGTTTATTTATAGGATGATAGGTTCTTGTTGCTGGGTTCACTACTATTCTTGACATTGTTGTCTTTCCACTATGTGTTATGTGGTGCTATTTCTTTCCTGGTTGTAGCTGAACTACTGCTTATTCCTGTTCTTGTTATTTTGCCTTGCAGGTGGAACACGTAGTCAGGGAAGAGAAGACAGTGGCAGCATATGATCTTATTGAGATTTACTGTGAACTGATTGTTGCCCGTTTGTCCATGATTGAATCACAAAAGTATGTATGCTTTTCTGTGTAATCTCTGGAAGCTAGTTAGTGTATACTGTTTTGGGGAGTATAATACGAATGCTGGACCCTTTTACTCCATGTCTTGTGTATACGTAAATGTGATGTAGAAGGTTTGATTTGTAGTCTGCTGCGCTTGTGATCTATGGTCCATATGTGAGTGATATTAGTTACTTATCCAATTTCTTTTAATCTGAAATCTGATGGATGTGAAATATATGAACGTTTGTTTGTCATTAAAAATACATGGTTTTCTTACCTGTTAGCTATTGTTCTGCAGACTCTGCCCCATTGACTTGAAGGAAGCAGTCTCTAGTGTAGTTTTTGCATCCCCTAGATGTGCCGACTTGCCGGAACTGGCGGATGTGAAAAAGCATTTTACAGCGAAGTATGGAAAGGAATTTGTTTCTGCTGCTGTTGAACTACTTCCAAACTGTGGGGTTGGCCGCTTAGTAAGTCTGTCTGGGTCGTTTCCTATGCATGATTTGTAGTTTGGACAATTTTGGTAACAATTCTTCTTTTTCCCTCTCTGCCCTACTTTAGCTCGTGGAAAAACTGTCTGCAAAAGCACCTGATGGCCCGGAAAAGATGAAAATCTTGAGTGCAATCGCTCTGGAACACAATGTTAAGTGGGATCCGAAATCGTTTGAGGGTGATATCAAGCCTCCCGAGGACTTGCTGGTAAGTGTTGAAAGTACACCACTGTGTTCCTCTTATTTTATTCTTCAAGAAGTCGATCTTTACTAATATCTCCGTCTTGTGAAATTTCTTGAGCAGAACGGACCTGCTACATTTCAACCGCCCAATACGATGCATGCCCAAACTCATGATGTAGACCCACCTCGGAATTTCAACAGCAGCCATGCTTCTGCTCATGGAAAGCATGATGGAAGCATGAACTCATATGCCCCTAGTTCCCAACCTTCTTCTCATTTGCAATCACCTAGGCCTGATGATTTCGGTTCAAATAAGGCAATGTCATCAGCTTTCTCTCACCCAGAGCAGAGGACTTCTCCAGGTATAGGACCTGAAGGTGTGGAATATAGACATTCACATGACAGGTCAGGAGGAAATTTTTCTGGGAGCCACCAGCAATGGAATACAGAGTTCAAGGATGCCACGGCTGCTGCACAGGCAGCTGCTGAATCTGCAGAACGAGCAAGCATGGCTGCTAGAGCCGCTGCTGAACTCTCAAGTCGTGATAACATGAACAGGCGTCAGTCAAGAGAAGAATCACATTTTGCTTCTGGGTTTTCACACAGAGATGATGAAGGGCAGCGTCTTACGACTGGCTCTAGGTTTCTAGATGAGAGACCTTCCAAGGAACCAATGAAGAATACATCCAAAAGTAAATCTCGAGTGAACTATGAACAGCAGACTGATGATACTGAAGAAGATATCCTAGCTGCTTTGAATGAAAGGTTTTACAATCTGAAGGGCCGGTTGGCTGCTACCCCAGATTCCAATGGTCCTCCTGAGATTGTTTCTTCTCCATCTATGAGTAACCACGATACAGTAGAGAGGCATTCCCAAACAAGCTCATTTGAATCGGACAAGAGTGACATTTCAAGTGATAAAAATATGGGAAGAGCGCCCAGTGATCATGAGGTGGACATTATTGGTGGTAACATGCATGGTGTGATAAAACATGAAACTTTTGATTGTTTCGAGGAATCAAGTGTCCCACACCAGTTTAGTGGTCTTCGTAACCATCCCCATTCAAAGATTCCTAGTTCCGATGAGAATTCGACCTCAACATGGGACCGCCATAAGTCAAGTGATGATGCTACTTCTGTGGATCTTTTTGTCATTGGACAAGCAAGAAGCCGAGTAAATGCCAAAGAAACATGTTCGTATGATGTTGCCACTGCAGTATTTGATGATCATGGTTCTGATGATGGCGAGGCATATAATTTGCATGTTGAGGACGAACTTAAGGACCAACAATCCAGTATGGGCTCTCATTTTCCTTCACGGACAAATGCATGGTGCCCTGGGCAGAAGAGCATTTACGAGTCTCCAAGGAAGTCAAATTCTTCATTTCTCTTTACCATTGAGAGAAACCATAGGTCTGTTGCTTCAGAAGGTTTAACTAGCAATGCAGTTCCTTCGCAGCAGGACGCTTTGTTACCAGTGACTTTTGATGACTCGGATGGACCAAGTTCTGAAAATGAAGATGGTGGTAGTACTTCTTCTCATGTTCAGTCCAAAAATCTGCACTACCATGACCTCAATGAGAGTTCTTCCTTGAAGGGATCTTCATCGTTTGCCGAAAATGAAAACTTAGGGTACAATAATAGACAGAGTTCCCTGCGTCCATCTTCAGCCGACTCCCATGAAGGACAAATGCAGCATCAGAATATCCAGGGAGTTGGAGTTGGTGGTATAAAAGCTGATGATGGGCAGTTTGGTGATCCCAATCGTCCTTCTATCAGCTTGGCACAATCTAGATACAATTCAAGTGACATGGATGAGAAGTTTCAAACACCGGTACTTCTGCCTGCTGGAGATAGTGATGGTGATGATGAAAATGGATCTGGTTCTGCAAGTGGTAAGGAGTTGAACTTTGGATTCCTGGCAGGGGGGATTCGAAACAAAGGCTATAAACACCCACCTTATCTTAAAAATCCTGCTACTCAAAATCCTTCACCATCCAAACAAGCTGTTGAAGAAGTTACTTCTACAAGAAATATTCAAGACACATCCAGCCAGGTACCTCCCCAAGAAGCAAGTAGAAGAAGAACTAGCTTAAGAAATCCAGCTAGATCATATAATTTCAGTGACGGTGATTCAGTCAAGGATCGACCTTTACAACAGAAATTCAACGGTAGTGAAGAAGGCCAACATAATAACCATAACTCAGGAGGAGTTGAAGTAAACAAAGTATCAGGGTCTCGAAGAGCCTTCTTCGATTCAGATGACAGTGAAGCCGAAAGGGAACTTCCTGAACAGAAATCCGCCGCAGGGAAATCTGTTGCAGGTCAGGCATTTTCCAGGCGCACTAAGGATGCTGCTGCTGCTGCTTCTGATGATAGGAGTTCCCATCCAAAAACCAAGAGCTCATCACAATCTCCAGGAAATGTTGACTATGCTGCCCCCACTCATCAAAGTCCTCCAACATCCAAGTCAAAGCCCTCGACGTTCCAGTTGAGTTCAGAACCCACAGTATCCTCTGGAAAGAACAGTGTTAGACCATCTGCTACAAAACAACCGTCAATTCCTGCTGCTCCGAAAACGGAATCTCCAGGCAACAACTACAGCGCAAAGACTTCTGGTTCAACTGGGGATCCCTCGTCCGTAAAAGATCCTGTCAACAGAGCCAGTCACGTCCACCCTAAACTACCCGACTACGACACTTTTGCAGCACACCTACGGTCTCTTCGCCAGGATCGCCAGTAAAAACTTACATGCCAAGTTTATTTATTTATACCGCACATAAAAGGTTCCTCTCTTCCCACACTTATTTCTTTCCATTCATTGATTGTTTCATAGATGACTGATACAGATAAACCGGGCAATTTCATGGCCTTACATGTCGCTGTAAATTCCAGTGTAATTTAATTTTATAGGACGTTTTTTTTAGTTTATAAAGCGAGGCATATTCATATGTCGTGGACAGATGTCTGGAGAATGGAGATGATGGAATATATTAAAGTCACTTCTGATGGTTATGTTTCCGTCGATTTGGGGCTAACTGCCTGCCAATTTGTACGAAGAAAAAACCTGCGATGTATATGAACCTAGAAAATGGCGGATCTGCCTTTTGCCATTCAACCTGTGTGGCCTGCTACTTTTCTTCCCTGAAATTCGTAACATTCTCTTGTCATTTCAGACAGCACAGGAACTGCATGATTTGAGCTCCGAGATCGCGTTGTCCGAACTCAATATATGCGTTCATGCTAGAAACAAATCTGTGTGGCACCCTGCTTGCTGTATAACAGATCGTAGGAAGCGGAAACCCACAGACGCAAAAAGATCCCTACTTTGTGTTTGTTTGTTTGTCTTTAGTGTTCAAAGAGAAGCCAGCCAGCACCATGGAATCACCTGCAAGAATCATACCCAACCCCCACCTGTTGCAGAGTGACGATCTACTCAAGGTACCCATCTACTGCAAATCTGCATTCAGTAGTAATGTATTTGATCAAGACTTTCCGTCAGCCAGTCCATTGCGTCGCAACTTTGGTTTTCGTTTTCGTTTGGATTACTGGATGACCAATTCGAACTCGGAGTGTTGTTGTACATGTATAATTGTCAGCACATAATGGAGACAACGGTGTACCCAAGAGAGCCACAGGTCCTCAAGGAGCTCAGGGATGCTACTGCCAAAGACCCCCGGTACGTATCTGATTAACTAACTAATCCACCATTTACCTAGAATTCATTTGATCAATTATGTCTGAACTCACTCTGGATTTCGGGTTCGTTTGCTGTGTAAAAAAAAAACTTTGGAAGTTCACCAATGGGTGCTGATCCACACGCTTCACAGTTGATGAGTATGCTACTGAGGATGGTGAATCCAAAGCGAACCATTGAGATCGGCGTCTACACTGGCTACTCCCTCCTCACCACTGCCCTTTCTACTCCTCCCGATGCCAAGGCAATGCACTCACTCAGCCAACTCTGCATTTCTTCGCACTTGCCCATAAACATACTATTCAACACTGACTGTTGTTGCAGTCATTGATTGATTTCAGATCACTGCAATCGATCCAGAGCGTGCATCGTACGAAATCGGGCTGCCGTTCATAGTCAAAGCAGGAATTGAACAGAAGATCGACTTCATCCAATCTCAAGCTCTCCCCGTTCTCGATGACCTCCTGCTCCTGCAGAAAGAAGAAGGGAGCTTTGATTTTGCGTTTGTGGATGCGGACAAGCAGAACTACGGCAACTACCACGAGCGGCTGATGAAGCTGGTGAAGATCGACGGCGTGATCGTCTACGACAACACCCTCTGGGGCGGCACCGTGGCAAAGCCCGACGGAGAAGTTCCTGGCTGCAAGAGAGAGGGGAAGGTGTTGGCAGCTGAGTTCAACCGGAGGATCGCCGCCGATAACCGCGTCGAAATCTGCCTGCTTCCGTTGGGCGATGGCATTACCATCTGCCGCCGCATCTCCTGAATAAATATTATTACTCATAGCCCCCAATGCCTCTTCTTGTTTTTATCCATCTGTATTGGAACACTTTCTATCTGCTTTCCGCATGCAACTCTCCGCGCCAAGAGTAAAGGAAAATGATGAACAATAACCACACAAGCATCAGTGTTACACTGTTACTTCATAAAGTAACAGCTTTCTTACTAGGGTGTTCAAACGGTTTGGTTACCATGGTAACCGTTTTAACCGGTACTATTTGGATAATTTGGTTTGGTTAATAAGGATAATTGGTTTGGTTTGGTTAAAGTTTTTAGCTTGTTTGGTTTAGGTGGTTTGGTTTGGTTTCAGACACTCCTAATCAGTCAAACCAAATTAACCAGTTAAGTAATTAGTCATATATCCAACATATATTATATACACATACTTAATACTTTGCATAACCACTCAAGAGTTAACGTTCATCCCTTTTAGACTCATAAAATAGAAAGCTCAATATTGCTCATAGAGTGTATATTTGTATATGTAAAATGTAGACCACAACATATGGACGCCTAATTTAGATAAATTTCATACATTATGATGGATGAAAACTTGAAAGGAAGGTCATTTCCAGCCTATGATAATTGCTAAGAGATATAAGTCAATTTACACAAACACAACAATTCATTAACTCATACCATTGTTTTAGTTGCATGTATTTTTGTTAAGGGTCAACTATAACTACGTGTTGTTTGTTATGTTTTATTCATTATATAAATTGCGAATTGTTGCATTAACCGAAAAAATTGTATCGTCAATGATAATGAGATTTTATATTGGTTAATCTGGTTAACCAATTAACCAAACCGATTAAACTTTAGTTTGGTTAATTTGGTTGTTGTATTAGTTTGGACGGTTTGGTTATGATATTATTTTTCTTGGTTAATGGAATTTAGCCTTATTTGGTTTGGTTATAACCATGGTAACCATTTGAACACCCCTATTTCTTACAGGGAGGGAGCGGATACTATAACAAACAACAGCTCCTTTGTTATTATCTTACATGTAAAAGCTGGCTACGCTTTATTGGCCTAAACTTCCAACTACTGTTTCATTATTTGTCGTATACTGAAAAAGGTCTTTGGGTTTCTCTTCCATCTCCCCTCCCTCTGTCGTCTACCCACCACCGCCGTCTCGCCTCCGCCAATTCGGTCTCCATCACCGTCGTGTAGCTGCTGCCCAGCCTAGGTCCAATCAACCTCTCTCCTTCCCTACGCCGCTACGCGAAACCCATACCGCCTTGCCGCAAAGTCCGCGAATGTGCGCCGCCCTGCTGTCCTCTCTTTCTTCAGCGCCGAACTCACCTCACCTCCTTCACAGAGGACCATGCTTTTCTGGTCAGCACGCCACCGCGTTTCTCCTCCACACGCTACCCCCTGCCAATTGTAGGTTTGTCTTTGCCCCTCTCGATTGGTGGACTAGGGACCTAAGGTTTACTCCCCTCATGTTCCTCTCTATCTCCTCTCGCTTTCCTCTTTCTCCACCTCTGGTTTGCTCCTCCCAAAATTGTCTCCGCCTCCTCCCACCTTCGCTCTCCACCGTTCCCACATTCTACGAATACTGTTTTGGTTCGCGATTCCTCTGCACTGCGAGTCGAAGCCAAAGTTGGAGTCGTAACAGGCGCCGGTCTCAAGATAGGAGACCGAAGTCGTGACCCGAGACGTGGCCGTTGGCTTGCTGCAACAGGAGACCGCACCGCAGTCGTAGCTACATCAACTGCAGAGTCAAAACTTCTTCCTCGAGGAATGATGGGAGGTCTGGAGGAAATGGTGTTCGTCGAGATGTCGTACAATAGAGTGTGTGTCCGGCGAGGATGTAGGTTTTAGGCCCCACAGCGGCCAATCGGATGTGCCTTAAGATTTTGGGGGAAATAGTATGGAATGGGAAAGAAGAGGATTTCACATTCCAATCTATAGACTACAGTGGGTGGGGGAGAGGGACGACAAAGAAGGAGAGGAAGGAAGTGGAGTATGTATGCTTGATTTGGGGTTTCAGTTTCTTATGCCAGGCTCTGCTGCTTTTTCCATTGTTGTTTTTTATTTCTAGGGTTTCAATAATGCAGGCCGTGTTCCTCAATGAAGGGCAAAATAGGTCATTCTATTCCCACTTACAACAAGTCAGCGTCTTCGTCGACTGATGAAGGAAAGGGTCCAACTAGCTAGAAGAAGGAAGTGCTCCAGAATTGGCGATAAAAAGATAAAGGAGAGGAAGAGAGATAATGAGGAGAGACTGCAAAGACGAAGGACGATAAGCTTGCTGCCTAAAATGAAGAAGGTTTATGCAATTTGGGGATTTTGCAGGTTTAGGTAGCAGAGTAGCCACCAGCCATGGAGGAAACGGTGAAGAAGTATCAACTGCGATTCATAAGTTTAAAGGATGAAATGGAGAGATGGGAAGCTCTTTAGTCCCATATTCTTCTTCCATCGTTGAGAGTTTACAGGTGAACTTTTATCATGCTTTGCTTGCTGAATCTCTGGAAGCAAATTTGTGTGCTTGAGTTCAGTTCTCTGTTTATTTTCCTTTAGACTCATTATTTCTGTAGACAAGCAAAGGCTGTGACTAATTCCCACAAAATGATGTCATTCTCGATAGGCTGCTCATGTTTGTGGAATGTCTGTGTATTTAGTTCTTGCTTTAGTTCATGGAAATAACATAATGAATGTTGGTTGGCTTCAAAACGATGATGATCGTTGATTTTGGTATTGGGATGCACATGCTGGTATTGTGTGTGTGTGTGTGTGTCAGATTCTTTGTGGTTAGATTGACGCTCAAGATTCTTACTTGGTTATGCATTTGAGATTGATGTCTTTTAAGCTTCAAACTATGTGTTTTCCTTTTCTTTCTTGAAAAGTATTCGTCATAGAAGATACGTATAGGACATTCAATTAAGAATGTCTGTAATTGCAACAGATGCATAAACTAATTAATTGGGATTTGTTTGTACTAAAAGCATAAAGAATCTAAAGTTAAAGAACATCATTTGCTATTGATGTCTTTTAACCTTCAGACTATGTTTAACTAACTTCATATTCATAGTCAATTGAACCATGTGCCAAGTTTCACAGCAAGATTGGCGTTAAAATTTACCTGTTTTGTCATTTAATGGCATCATCTATTCTATTGCAGATCATCACCCATCAAACATCCAGAAGCAGGCAGAGGAATATGCAGGTCTAATCATGGAAGAAGTCGATCTTGAACACTATGGATACAATATTGTTAGGGAATTACACTCTAAATTTGGGTGTAAGTAATATGCAACAAGACAAGGTTACTTAGTGGCATGTTTCTTAATGCAAACAAATAGGCTAGAAATGCTTTTGCTACAATTTTTGGTTGCTCTCTATGTTGTTTGATTATGGCATCGGTCTTTGACTACTTCTACTTCTGCTTTGCAGCCTCGGCTATCCACTTTACATTGTTTTACCTTACAGAGGTTGTCATTTTTCAGGACCAAGGTAGAGATAAAAGAAGAAAGATAGAGATGGACAACAAATCAATGATAGAGACCATCCTTTCGAAGCTACCATGGACGACTGGAGACCCTAGGCGCTCCAGTGGGTTCTCCAAGTTATCGACGATGTGGACGAATGAAATCAGTGAGTTCTCTTTCCCCTATTAGTTCCTTCTGGGCAACGGTTTTCGGCCTCCTCGCATGTCGCTTGCATCGGGATCTTTAATTTCAATCTTTCCATGTATTCCTAGGATGTATTGTTGTAGGAAGTTGAATCCATGCAGCTTCATGACCACGGGTTCTCATCGTTCTTAGGCTAAGATCCTTCATCTCTACTCTCCATCGCTTTTCCTGCTCCTTCACTCTGAATCTTAGTTTCTTTTCTGCACTAGGTGGACTTCATCTCATCTCGGGTAGTGATGACTGGATTCATGGAAGAAGTCAAGCATTTTGAAGTTCACGGTATATAGGAGATTAAAATGATGAAAGATTCAATGCTCTTTGTTTCCTGGTTCTTTTATGATGAAGTGTTATTTTAATTTATTTGCCTTTTTCCTTGAGATATATATATCATCCAATCTGGGTACTAACTGGGAAGAGTTGCAGGACCATAGCAAAGAGCATTTTTCAGTCGGTTCCAGTGGGATTGTGTGTGTTAGCTCTCCCGCCATTCTTCTTTTCCAACAGGTTACTACTTACTATTACCTCTCTTTGTTTGTGTTTTTGGTCTGTCTTGCTCATGTATGTGTGCTTTTTTATTTCTTCCCGAGGCTGTTGCACTCGAAGGGGAGGCGAAATGGAGTTTCAAATCCTTTTGAATATGAAATTTGGTGGTGATTAACATGAACGTTATAGCTGGAAATATGTGTTTGCATGATATAATTGAATGGCTTATGCATGTATGCATAGAAGGCCTGTCTTGAATGAAAGCCAATGTTGTATTTGGTGGAAAGGGTAGAATTTCCTAGGGGTGTCAGTCGGTCGGTTTTGGTTTAATCGAAAACCGATTTCTCGGTTATCGGTTAAACCAAGCGACCACATCCGGCTACCGCCCACCGACCGTGAAAGATACAGCGGCTAGCCAACCACCGATCGGTCGGTTAGCCGGTTTTGGTTCGGTTAACCTCATGCCCGAAAACCGCACCCTAAAGTAAAAAATTAAAATTAAAAAATTAAAAAAATCAAAAAATACAGGAACCACTTATTCCTTATCTTTCCTTTCAAACCCTCCACCACCACCACATTCATTATCTGCTCCTTCTCTCTCCTCCATCCTTCTTTCTCCTTTCTTTTCCACTCAAGTCTCAAGATTCAAGAAGCAGCCGAGTGATTAACCATAATAAAAAAAAGAAGCCGAGAAGGAAGGCTTGCCGCCGACGGGAGAGGGAGGAGCGACCTCGCGAAGCCGGCGGACAGAGGCGGAGGGAGACGGCGTTCGCGTGGTGGAGGTTGGAGGCGGCAGGCGGCGCGGCGCGGCGGGTGGAGGCTGTTGCATGCAGGTCGCGACGGTTGGAGGCAGAGCCGTGGAGGAAGTTGTGGTGGCGGTGGAAGGAGGGGGAGCGGAGGAGGCAGGGGAGGGCGGCGGCAAGTGCTGGTGGTGGTGTTTGTGGAGGTGAGGGTGGAAGAATAGAAGGTTGATGGGAGAAGAAGAAGATTTAGGTCGACGAAGGAGAAGGTTGGTGGTGTCTGTGGTTGCTGGTGGTGAGGGAAGGGAGGGGTCGAGGTCGACGAAGGAGAAGGATGATAGGGTTTGGGGTGGGCTTTTGGGCGCGGGTTTTATATGGGTCGGTTGGCCTCAGTTAC